ACTTTTTACCTTTAAGACCTCAAATAAGACTTAAATAAGCTTTGCTAGTCTTAGGGGAGTGTATGAGTGAGATTTGGAAGCATTTTCGTGCCCAAAATAGGGTACTTCAGGATTTCAATATTTATATTGTTTTTCGTGAAAGGAAAAAACAAAGCAATTTATAAAGGAATAATTGATACTCCCTCAAAGAGAAATGATACTCAAGGTCTAGTATCGATACTCAAAGGTTAGTATCGATAATAGTGGCAAGTTCTAGATTTTAGTGTATAAATTTGTTGTCGATACTCATGGGGTATCGATACCCATGGTAGAGTATCGATACTCCCCATAGGAGTATTGTACCAAGGCATTTTCAAAACCTCGAAGCTATTTTTGGTATCGATACTCAGGTTGAGTGTTGATACCCAAGGGTAAATATCGATATTGTTGGCACAATATTGATACCATCACTGATTTTTTTGGCAATTTGGTTCATTGTTTTGGGGGTTCGAACTTGGGTGTTTTGTGTTCGTATAGGCATCAAGTATACGATACAAATGAAAACAATCAAGTTAACTAAATTCTCACCTAGATATCAAGCAAGTTAGGATGACATAAAATTTGCCATTGTATGATGTTCGGGAAACGGTCAGGACACCCGAGTTACTCTAGCTTTATAATGATCGTCCTTTGTTGTGGAATATTCAGATATTGTCTGTTATGTATTGTTTCGATGCACGTAAAATTCTAGATTGTACCAGTATAGAATTTGATGCACTTAAAATTTTGGAACATACTCTATGCTTGAATACGTCAGAGATATGAGCTTCTGATGCACGTAAAATTTTGGTACTCACCCCAACATCTCGAGTATCCGAGATATACTAAGGGATCTAAGTTTTAATGCACGAAAAAATTTTGGTTCTTACCCCGAAGCTATCACGTTTTGATAGACTAGTATGTTATCCAAGATGCACGTAAAATTCCTCCGACCACAATACAGATCGTATCATATGTTTGTTTGTTTACCATTAATGTTTATGACTATATGCATCGACATGTTTATGTAATGGATACATGTAGTATTGCAGAGTTATTTTCATGACATTAGTGACCTCTGCGTATGGAATGTGTTTTTGTGCACAGGTTAGTAGGATATCGTTGAGGAGCCTATCACATCAGTACATTCCATACTAGACGATTTGTAGAGTATGTATTGAGTATATTTAGAGGGCATGTATTCTATATGGACCTTGTTTTATTCTAGTCACAACTCTATTTCTATTTTGATTTAAAACTCTATGGTCGCATATGTACATATTTGGGAGACTCATTTATTTTGTGAACTTTGATTTAAATTCTGTTGATATGAGGATGAATGATTTTGATGTTTATAAATGTTTTTGAAAATAAATTTTTGGGTTGACCATTTTGGTGGTTCCGTATGGCATCATAATCCATGGATCTTTGAGTCAGACTAGATTAAGGTGTTATATTTAATGGTATCAGAGCGTCCAAGTTTAGCCATTTCTAGGACCCGTGGGTTAGAGTCAGTAAGTGTTTGTGTAAGTACATGCCCCTAGAGTGTATGATGTGGTCACACCCACATTGGATCCAGAAGTAATGCCACAAGGTCCTATCACCTGATCCAGAGCCAAACAATTTAGGGAAGTACTCTTATTCAAGTGTCTTGATGCCTTTGATTTGTTTGATAAGTTATCAACACTTGATGATAAGTTATATAATGTTTTACAAGTTGAAGAATAACTTGCAATAACTCATATCTTTATATTACATGTTTCAGCATTAGTTTTGCATTCATTTAAATTGATTTCAATTCATTTATATTATGGCAACATGCTACTATTAATTTCTTTAGCTCATCACATATAATTTCAGCTCATAAGACTTATATATTAACTCATTAATATCACAACATCTTATACTTAGCTCATGATATTAATTCATAGCTCACAAGTACTCATTTACATTTGGTATCATGTAAATCCTTCATTTCCTAGCTCATTACATGTTTATTTAGCTCATTATTCATTCCAACTAGCTCATTAGCATTGCAACTATATTCACTCAGCTCACATTATTTAATTCTAGCTCATAAGTATGTATACATGCACGAAAGCCCCTAATTTCATTCATTCCAACTCATTCCATGCATTTTACTTTAGTTTATTCATTTGTGTAGGTACATCAATGGACAAGACACATCTTGGTAGCTTGGTAGACTATTTAGTGTTAATATACAACTCACAATCAGCTCACAATCAGTTCACAAGTATTCAATCAGCTCATAGAGACTTAAGGAGAGCTCAATTCATCTCGGCAAGCTAACATGTAGTTGATCTTAGATGGAAGAGTTATTTGAACCCAAGTTACTGAAAGTGATGTCAAATGTAGATGAAAGTAGCTGAAGGTGAAGCTTGAAGACTTAAAAAAACCTTGGTTGATTAGCTTGAACACATCAAGCTCTTGTTCGTCTAATTAGCTAAGCTACATTCACCAAGCATTTAAGTAAGCTATGTCATACCTAGGCTACCATACACCATCTGATGGACAAGACTACACCACATTTATTCTAGAACCCCATATGAGTGCTTCATGACTAGCCCACCCATGTGCCATGTGTGTGGACCAATTTCGACGCCAATGTGAATGGTTACATGACCATTTGGCCAAGTTGTCTCAACCCCTCAAAACAAGTTGAACCATCATGAAGACTATTCGACCAAGGGGAATACTTCTTCATTTTGGCCAAATCAACCTAACATTTTACATACATTCACTTCATTTAATTATTTCTTTTTATTCATGAATGTACCTAGTCGAATATCCACTTATCTTTTGGCTATTATTCTTTTCATTTCCTATAAATAGGCTAGTTCATTCCATTTGTAAACAACTCTTATTACTTAATCAAATTAAGTGAGATTATTTTCTTTTCTCAAGTCCTTTGTGACTTTATCGACTTATCAAGTATTCTATACTCGTGGCGTCAATCCTTTCTTTCAATTTGATACTTATGGTTCCTAGATTACTATCTAGTGGGTCCAGGTCCTAGTCTACCACCCCTTGTGAAAACTTATAAAGAACGTGTATATATATTCTTTAATATAGATTCCTCTTTAGTTCTTCACAAGATACTATCCTTTATTCACCATCATTTTCTTTCATAAACTCACCACACGCCTTCCTACAATTAAACCAACTTCATTTTCATAAAAAAAAACAACCCACCATCTTTACTTAAATCAACTACCAAACCATTCTCTTTGAGTCATTCACTTATATTGCAGGTTGTTTTACTTTCTTCCTAGATCCATAATCAAAAGGGTACAACACCCTTACATCAGTGTAAGGAATACTTAAGTTTCTAGAATGACGATAATGACCTCTCTTTTCTTTTTAACTTAAAGATTCGATCTTGTCCTATGACATTGTTCCAAGTCATGAGGGCTAGGAGGAGAGTCACGCCTCCTTGGCCGAAAATTTCGATGATGATTTTGCCATATACTCTGAGTACGAGATACTTGCGGATGCAAGAGTCGACAATGCGACTTTTTCTGTGATCTGACCTCGACCCTTAAAAAGATAGTTTGTGTTATTCTGAATCTGTCCACTATGCCACCTCCCCCACCTGTACCTCCAGTTTAGCCTGTTGTGGCACCTCATGAGTCCCCTGTCGAGAGGCTCCATAGGTACAAGACAATCAAATTTTATGGATCTAGGGATGATGACCCCATCTCTACATATCAGTGGCTTCGGGAGACACTTCATACTCTTCATCAGTTGCTCCTCACTCTCAATAAAAACTTGAGTGCATCACCACCCTTTTAAAGGGTACCATGATCGATTGGTGGGAGACCGTTGAGTTAGCAATGGAGATAGAGAGACCCACCTAGGATTTTTCTGGATAGAGTTCATGAAAAAAATACATTGGAGAAGCACACACCAATAATTTATGTAACCAGTTTCAGCATCTGATGTAGGGCGACATGACTATACTTGTGTACTAGAATGAGTTTCTTAGATTGAGTAAGTACATGCCAGAGCTTGTTTTAATAGAGGTTTACCGTTGCATAAGAATCAGGGAAGACCTCCCGTTGGATATTCAGACTAATTTGGCAGTCAATCCTCCTCATGTTTTTGTAAAGTAAACTCGCTAGGCAAAAGCAATTGAGATAATTTTGTGTAAAAAGGCTTAGGTGGCGAGCGACTTAGTGGGTCAGAGCCAGAGGGTTCTAGATATTACTAGGATATCTTAATCAATAGTTAAGTGATCCAGGGGCCCTCAGAGTTCAGGAAGACAACCATCAGGGCTATCGAGAGGAACATCTCACAAATCAAATTGTAGAGGTAGAACTGGATCTTAAGGAGACCCTTGTTACCAGGAGCTGGTTCGAGTGCCAGTAGGTCTGAATTGACACTAGTGCTTCCAATGTACTCGACATGTTGTAGGAGGCACCCTGGAGAATGATGCCGAGTGACTGGAGTTTTCTTTTGTTGCAGATCTTTGGACCATTTTGTCATAGATTTTCATTGAGCTTAGAGTTTATCCCCCACATCATCACAGAGATCTACGCCATCTGTTCAATAAGGACGAGGGTCCTCGAGAGGTAGCAGAGATACTTCGGGGTAGTACATAGGGTAGTGTTAGATTTGAGACCGTCCAATAGCACAGATTAGCCTCGCATCAATATGCAGTGTGAGCTTAGGAGGAGTGCGATGTTGTTGATGTGATATCAAGTATATTCATAGTATTTTCCATTCATGTTACTACATTGGTAGATTTGAGTTATTCCCACTATTATATTTGTTACGATCTAGACTGAGAGGGAAATATCCCGACTAAGGATTTAAAAATAGGGGTTAAAGTGTCTAGCACTTTAGGATTAGACGCTTTGGTTAACAAGGTTCACCATTGTTACCCCGTAAAGCTTTAGGGTGAGGTATTCTTAGATGATTTAATAGAGCTATTATTTCAGGAGTTTGATGTGATCTTAGGAATGGATTGGGTTTCAGAATATGACGTAAGTTTGAAGTTCAAGACGAGATGGCTTAAACTTGATAAGGATGATGGGACCAAGGTAGTGATGGCTAGAGAGATCGCGGTATACTACCAAGGTGATTTTCGTAATGAGAGCTCAGAGATTATTAAATCAAGGTTACGGAGCCTTCTTGGCTCACGTGGTGGACACGTGAGCTCATATTCTAACACTTGAGGATATTCATACCATGCAAGAGTTCTTTGATGTGTTTCTAGAGGAGTTACTGGGGCTACCACCTAATGGTGAGGTCAAGTTTAGCATAGATGATTTATCAGATTCAACTCTAATGTCCATTACAGCCTATCATATGGCACTGGAAGAGTTGAAAGAGTTAAAGAACCAAACACAAGAATTTCTTGAAAAAGGGTTTCATTCGACCGAGTATTTCACCTTGGGAGCACCGATCCTCTTTATCAAAAAATGATGGGTCGATGAGGTTGTGCATTGACTATCGACAACTGAATAAGTTGACTACTAAGAACCACTAGCCTCTTCCTAAGATTGGTGATATGTTCAACCAATTTAAGGGATATTGCGTGTTCTTTAAGATATACTTGAGATCTGGGTATTACGAGTTGAAAATTAAGGTCATCGACATTGCTAAGACCACTTTCAGGATGAAGTACAACCATAAAGAGTTTCTCGTGATACTGTTCAAACTCACAAATGATCCTAAAGTATTCATGGATTTGATGAACCGTGTTTTCTATCCCTATTTAGATTAGTTTATGATGGTATTCATTGAAGACATCCTTGTGTACTCTCTGTCTGATGTGTAACATGATCAACACCTCTGCATCGTTTTGCAAACACTTAGAGAATGTCAATTATATGTGAAGTTTGGAAAGTGTGAGTTCTAGTTGACCAAAGTTTTATTTTTGGGTCATATGGTAGCATCTGATGGCATCCGAGTAGACCTTCAGAAGATCAAGGCAGTGTTAGAGTGGGAACCGCCTAAGAATGTCATCAAGGTGCGCATTTTCTTAGGCCTAGCACGGTAATACCACCATTTCATCAAGCATTTCTCTATGATTGCAACACCACTGACCAAGTTACTTCAGAAGGGAGTTCCTTTCCTATGGAACAAGAAGTGCAAAGAGAGTTTTGATTGGTTGAAGGAAATCCTCACTTAAGCCTAGTTTTGACATAACGAATTGGGTAAAGACTTCATCGTATTTAGTTATGCATCCCTAAATGGTTTAGGGTGTATTTTGATGCAAGAAGGGAAAGTTGTGGCCTATATGTCCCTTCAGTAAAGCCTCACGAACGAAACTATCCTACCCAAGATTTGAAGATTACCGTAGTGGTTTTGTCTTTGAAGATTTGGAGACACTACTTGTTTGGGGAGAAGTGTAACATCTTTACGGATCATAAGAGCCTTAAGTATCTTCTCACTCAGAAAAAGTTGAACTTGAGGCAACGAATATGGGTAAAACTTTTGAAGGACTATGTAACACCCCGACCCGTACCTGACCCAAATGCAAACCTAAGATGTCACATTGAATTTTCAACTCTTTGATTCTTTGAAAATCTTATTAAAATTTGACTTTTTACTGTTATTGTAATGATGAAGCCCTCATTAACACTAGTTAAAAATCAAAATTTATATTTAACAATTGAAACAAATATTTAATATATTTTCATAAACCTTAATTTGTATAGTTACAAAATAGATCAGAGCATTTGCGATTTAAACATTTGTAGTACATTCCAACAAAACATCAAAATAACAAAACCACCTACTGTTCAAATCGATCTGATCTTCTCCAGAGATATGTTTTCCCGACCTAGCTTTTTCTTCTATCTTCTTTGAACTTACGTGTGAAAACACTCACACGCTAAGTCTTTGACTTAGTGAGTCATAAATTAGCGTAATAAAACAATAAATCATTTACTAAAACATTTCTGAAGAAACATTGAATACAGAAACCAATATGCATTTCATACAATAACGTATATTGTTATGCACTTTTCAATTCATATCAATTTGTTTAAATAGCCTAACGCATATCACTGAGAACATAAGGTATGTGAGTACTTTGTGGTTGTGCACTATAATTGCAGTCGAAACTACCGCGTAGAATTTGTACCTAACATAGAATATGCACCAAAGAGTCACACAGAATTCTCCCGAAGGACCGTTTAGAATTATCCCGAATTATCACATAGAATTATCCCCAAGGACCACGTAGAACCCTCGACTCTTGGCATGCCAATTATACCTCTAATTCTCATAACGTATACTTTGGGCTTTAACCATATAAGTATTCACATAGTATTCTTCAAATTATCAATCATTCACATAGAACACATATACTCATAGTAGCAAAATCAAAACAATGCTTATGAAATACAATATAAGTAAAACAATAAAATTTAACATAAAATAATTCAAACAGTTTTCGATCAAAAACCTTTGAGGTTGGCTCATCGCAAGCCATCCCCATGTAGAATATAAAATAAGTAAGTTGCACTCACCTTTGCCTCACTTAAGTCCTAAGCAAAATCCTTTTCACTTTCGCTAAATCTCTTTACTACTTCGAGTCGTTCAGTACTTGCTCTTTATCAAAATCTACACATTAACATAATTAAAATGAATATCAGATCTCAAATAATTGTTAACCCTTCAGCATTTACATCAACTAAATAAAACCCCTAATTTAAAATTTCAAGCTAACCAGCATCGGTACTCTATACCGAGTATCGACACTTCCCTTCTATGGTATCGATGCCTACCTCAGTATTGATACCCAAATTGCATTCTAGAATTTCCTTTTTAATTAAATTATCGATACCATACTATTGCTATAGATACCTCCAGTATCGATATTACCCCTTCAATATTGATTCTGCTCATCTGATTCATACAATATCGATATTGTTCTTCCAGTACCAATACCCTTGCCCATAATTCACTCATTTCACTTCAAATTTTTCCAAAAATACCTAAATATCATAGTTTTAAATCCAATTAAACCCTTAAACTTACTAACACTTATCACAACCAACTTATACCCATTAAATCCCCTTTAACATCCAAAATTTTCACTAGAACACTTAAAACTAAAAATCACACCCATTCTTCAAACATGTTTTCAGTCCATTCTAATACTTCAAATACCTTATTCAAGCCTTTGGCAGTCAAATATACCTTTAAAATCCAAATTCTAAGCATTTTAATCAATTCCCTTAAAAACCCGTTTTACCAAATCACCATTAACTCATTAATCCCATAGTTTCTAATCATCTTTAAGCTTTCTTAAACTTCTATACTACCTAAGGAATCAAGACCAAACCAAAAAATTCAAGAAACAACCAACTTTAAAAATGGCTCACCTTGGCAATGGAGGTTCACGGTGGAATGAAAAAAATAAGATGAAGGTAATGCTTCTAGGCTTTTCTTTTCCTTTTCCTCTATTTCCCACATGTTATATTAACATTAAAATGATTTTTTAATTCATTTCATGATAAAATATCACTTTGCCCTTCCATCGTTCAATCTTTAATAATAAGTCCTAAACAAAAATTTCCAAATCAAACCTTGAACATTTCAATTTATCAAAATTAAACTGGTAAATTTTAAATCCTTACACTTTATTCACCGACTCGATGTTTGGGGTATTACATACTATGATTGCATGATCGATTATCATTCGAGAAAAGTGAACGTTGTTACAGATTCTTTGAGCAGGAAAACCATGGTAGAGTTATAAGTTTTACTAGCGCATCTGAGTTTTGACGGACCCGGGTAGTTTGTTAGTCGAGCTATTAGTTAAACTCACGTTAGTGAGTAAAGTTAAGAGATTGTAGAGTTTGAATACTCGGTTGAAAGTTCGAGTAGAATAACTCCTCCGAGGAAAGGCCTTAGGTTATAAGCTGCGAGATGAGAGCGAGTTATACTTTATAGGACGACTATGCATGCCAGTGAAAGAAAGCTTTGTGACAAAATCCTTAATGAATCACATTGTAGCCCTCTTTCTATTCATCTGGGTACCAGCAAGATGTACCAAGAGCTCCAACCATTGTATTGGTGGTAGGGCATGAAGAGGGAAGTATATGAATTTGTTGCTATGTGCCTGGTATGCCAACAAGTCAAGATGGAATATCAGGTTCCCTCGAGTTTATTGCAGTCAATTCAGATTTCACAATAGAAATATGAGAGAGTAACGATAAACTTTGTAATCGGTTTACTGATAATGAGATTTTGGCATGATGTCGTATAGGTTGTGGTAGACCGTTTGACCAAATCTGCTCACTTTCTTCCGATCCCAGATGGACTTCATGTTATAAAGATTGGCCCAGGTTTACATATGTGAGATTGTGAGGTTGCATAGAGTTCCTATCTTGATCATATCCGATAAAGATCCGCGATTCACTTCTCGGTTCAAAAAAGCACTACATGGAGCTTTAAGGACTAAACTACATTTTATCACCACTTTTTAACCTCAGACAGATGGACAGTCCAATCGAATTATTAAAATCTTAGAAGATATGCTTAGATGCACTGTTTTGGATCTTTAGTGTAGTTGGGAAAACCACTTGCCCTTGGTGGAGTTCATGTATAAAAACAGTTATCAATCAAGTATTCAGATGGCTCCTTACAAAGCCTTGTACAGTCTCAGGTGTAGAACTCCATTGTGTTAGATGGAACTCAGTGAGGGTAAGATGGTAAGTCCTAACATAGTCTAGGAGATTGAAGAGAAAGTTTAGTTGATTCAGAGTCATTTTAAGGAGGTTGTAAGCCAATATGAAGTGCAAGGATATAGAATTTGCAATGGGAGACAAGGTATTTTTCTACGTTTCCCCATGGAAAAAGGTACTACTATTTGGATGCAAGGTAAGTTAACCCCACGATTCATCAGACCATATGAGGTTTTGGAGAGAGTTGGGCCAGTGGCTTACCATTTAATGTTGACTCTAGAGCTTGAACACATCCACAACATGTTTCACGTATTCATTCTTCGAAGATACCGATTCGATATGTCTCGTGTCATAACCCATGAGCAAGTTGAAGTCAGGCAAGACCTAACTTATGAGGAAGAACCGATCAGAATCCTTGGCAAATATGTTAAGGAACTAAGGAACAAGATGATACCATTAGTGAAGGTTTTATGGAGGAAGCATGGTTTAGATGAGGCGGCATGGGAACCCAAAGAAGATTTGCAACTTTAGTGTCCACACCTCTTCTATTCAGGTAAATTTCAAGGACAAATTCTTCTTAGGAGGGGAGAGTTATGACACCCCAAATTATGGGTTAGTAGTTTTGTATTTATTCAAATGGGCTTTAGAATAAATTTCCCTTGGTATATGAAGCTTTGGACCCAAATAGATTTGATTTGGGCTTGTGATTAGCCAAAGTATGTATTAAAATGGGTAGTTTTAATCTAGAACTAACTGTGGAGAATTAGGGGTGTAATTATCCCATCTCTTTTTCTTCAATATGCTTGTCTTCTTCCTCTCTTCTTCTATATCTTATTCCTTCCCTAGTCAAGTAAAATACCTAAACTTTTTAGTTTTACAAGACTGCTTCAAAATTCCAAGTAAGATTCATAAACTACAACTCCTAAGCTTCCATCCAAACTCTCTTTTGCAATATTTGACTTAGTTAGCCAAAAAATAGGTTTTAGTGAGGGTTTATAAAATCCTAAGTTCTAGTTCGTTTTATGGGATTTAGGTAGTAAGAAAACATTTTTAGTTTCTTCCTCAGGTTTAAAATGAGTTAGAAACTCATTAAACTTATTTTGATCAGTGCAAGAGCAAGGAGAGAGCTCTTCAGCTAGAGGCAAGGAAAAGCTAGTTCTTGGGTGATTTGGGGATGTTTTTCAGTCACCTAGCTTCAAAGTAACATGATTCTAACTTGTCCATACCACATGTATGTCATTGTATGTGCACTATGGTATGTATTGTTCATGAAAGCATGTTAGAGTAATTTCATGGCAAGATTTATATTTATTGTTTGTAAGCATGAAAG